AGCAGGAGGAAGGCTGAGGGCTCCATGGGCACTGGGGGAAGGGGGAAGCCATCGTGAAGGGGGCAGGGCAAGGGACAACCCTGATCCGTGGCCTCTTCAGGCCAGGGGTGCTGAAGGAGCCCAAACTCATGGGAGCTATCTCCTTCTTCATCTTCTTCTTCACACTCCTTGTCTTGGCTCGGCAGGTAAGTCACCCAGCTCAGCCTTCCAGGGCCTTGGTATGAAGGGTAAGGTGGGAGGGTCCCCATATTTGTAACTTGGTCTCTCTCTCACCCTTTCCTTAATCTGTCTCCAGGGCTGAGCCCAAGTGGCATACCCTTTGAAAGCTTCTAAGTGAAATTTCCTATTCTCTTTCTCCTTCACTCCCCAAGGAGAGTGTCCTCAAGTTCTCTCCTCCCTCCTCCCTCCCACCCCCAATCTAGGAAAGTCCATGCTTAAGAAAAAACAATCTGCTGCCAATTCTGCCCACCCTAGTTTGAATCTAGTTTCAAGGGAGTCACCCCAGGGGTAGTTGCACCTTAAGCCTTATCTCTAAACTACAGGGTAGTGTGGTTTTAGGGGGGTGAACACTCAGGTGCTGGGGATTTCCTTGCACTATGTCTCCCCATGGCCCCCTGGTGACCATTCCCAGAATGAGTATTATTGCCGCCTGGACTTCCTGTGGAAGAAGAAGCTGAGGCAGGAGCGGGAAGAGACAGAGATGATGGAGAACCTGACTCGGCTGCTCTTGGAGAACGTGCTTCCTGCGCACGTGGCCCCCCAGTTCATTGGCCAGAACCGGCGCAACGAGGTAACTCCCCACCCCTGACTCCCGAGCTCCAGATACCATAGGGACTAATTTCAGATGGAAGTCTTGGCCCTTGGCCCAACCTCTCTGGACTCCCCCTTAGTGGGTCGGGCGGTTGCTCAAACCTCTCCACGTCCTTGTCAGGTGCCTCTTGTTTTCACGAGATCTTAGGCTCTGTCTTTGATGAGCACAGAATTTCAGTGTTTCAAGTTCTTGGAGAGAGTGTCCACTCCAACTCATGACCACGCCATGCCTTTCAGAAGCTTCATCAAGTGTTGATGGGAGTTGTGTGGAGGACACAGTCCACCCATCTCTCTGGACCTGCACTATCCAGTATGGTAGCCGTTAGCAATGTGCGGCCATATAAATTTAAATTAATTAAATAGAAAATTCAAGTCCTCAATTGCACTGGTCACATTTTATGTGCTCAACAGCTGTATGTGCTTAGCAGTCACCATATTGGACGGCAGATATATAGAACATTTCCACCACCACAGAAACTTCTGTTGGATGATGCTGTTCTAGATCCTCAAATATCTTGCTACAGTCAGACCATCAGAAGGTCACCCACATATTTGCACCATCTTATTTGTACCGCCACCATCTCATACTCTCTGCTATGGAAATGTTCTTGACCTGTATTGAAGGGCATTGAAAGAAACAGCCCAAGGGCTATTTCACACCCTTAAGCCCCCACCAACTGTTCTCTGCTCTGAAGATTAGGAGTAGGTCTACTACTGGTTTCTTCTCTTATAGATATTGATAATCTTGTAACCGATCATGTTTCTGACTTCGCATTGGCTACTAAAAGCTCAGAGCCAGAATTGAGGACTAACAAGGACTTCATGATATCCATTTTGTGAAGCAATCTCAGATCTAATTCCATCTTTACCATCTTACCCTTATTTTTCCTTTGCCCCATTTTTCCTATTATTGCTTTATTTTATCTTGCAAATTGTAGCTATCTTTGTAAGCCAATTTAACTGATTTAAAACCTTTTAGCAATAGCTAGGATGTAAATATATTTCCCATCAATGTATCCCAGTTCTAGAAGTGACTCCCCTCACATTGCTGTGAGGTGATCTTGACCCCAAACCTGTCTCTCCTGGAATCACAGTGAGACCCTGTCTTTGACTCCTGAGTCACATCCCTTGGGTAACCTGGTCCTCCCCATCCCGCCTCCTCCCCAATCCTTCTTACACACTGGGGGAGGCTTGTGGACACAGGGACAGGAGGGGAAAGAAGGTGGTCTACAGCCTTACCCCAGCTTTTCGCCCTCCCAGGACCTCTACCACCAGTCCTACGAGTGTGTCTGTGTCCTCTTCGCCTCAGTCCCAGACTTTAAGGAGTTTTACTCCGAATCTAACATCAACCATGAGGGGCTAGAGTGTCTGCGGCTGCTCAATGAGATCATTGCTGATTTTGATGAGGTAACAGCTCCACCGGTCACCCAGCCCTACGTCCAGGATTCTAGAATTCCCCACCAGCCCCTCCTTCCACTTTGCTCTCCTGGCCATGAAGCCCACCCTGCTTTCTCAGTCTTCCCCCTCCTCCAATTCTCCAGCTCTATCCTCTCCAACAACTGTGTCTACAACCAACTCTCCCTCCTGCCACCATCCCTGACCCCACAGCCTGGTCCTTTAGCCTCCAAAAACCTGGGGCTGGGCTTCAGGGAGAGAGGAGGAGGAGAGCAAAATAAACTGGGGACACCGCCTCCTCTCTCTATACAGCTGCTCTCTAAGCCCAAGTTCAGTGGGGTGGAAAAGATCAAAACGATCTGCAGCACCTACATGGCAGCTACAGGCTTAAATGCCACCTCTGGACAGGATGCACAGCAGGTACAACATTCCTTCCTTACCTATCAACCCTCACCTGGGCTCTCATTGGTGGGCCCATAAATGGGCCTTATTCCTGTGCCCTCATTGACCTATCCTGGTGGCCGACCCATTGCCAGGATGCTGAGCGAAGCTGCAGCCACCTTGGCACCATGGTGGAGTTTGCGGTGGCCCTTGGGTCTAAGCTGGATGTCATCAACAAGCACTCATTCAACAACTTCCGCCTGCGTGTGGGTAAGGGCTTTCCCTTGCTGGGGCAGTCTGGGACCTCCTCCTCATCTTCCCCAAGTCCTTTGTTATCTGCTCTTCCAGGTATGGAGCTTGAAGCTGCTGGGCCTCAAGCTACGAGGCCCACCCATCCCCTTCCCTAGGCCACCCTCCTCCAGCTCCACACTCCTTTACTCTAAGGGCCCCCAGGCTCTTCTCCCTAGTTCCGTGAACCTTCTCTTCCCCACTACCTCCTCAAATCTCCCCTCTTTTTACCACATCTCTTGTCAGGGTTGAACCATGGACCTGTGGTGGCTGGAGTGATAGGGGCCCAGAAGCCACAATATGACATCTGGGGCAACACAGTGAATGTGGCCAGCCGCATGGAGAGTACAGGAGTCCTGGGCAAGATCCAAGTGAGGGAGCCACACTGAAGGCAGGGGGGCAAGGGATAAGGATAGGGCCACCCCTACTACCTCACCCCCCTTCAATTTCAGGTGACTGAGGAGACAGCCCGTGCCCTGCAGTCCTTAGGTTATACCTGCTACAGCCGGGGTGTCATCAAGGTCAAAGGCAAAGGGCAGCTGTGCACCTACTTCCTGAACACAGATTTGACACGAGTTGGACCTCCTTCAGCCACCCTGGGCTGAGACCCCACTCCTTCCTCTCCACCTCTAAGATCCTCAATAAAGAGACTCTGGTATGTCTGGAGCCAATTGATATTAGAGCTACCGAGATAGCTGGGATCACCTACTCCTTGCCTCTCAGCAGGACTGCCTCTTCCCAGGCCAAATTGAGTGTGTGTGTGTGTGTGTGTGTTCGTGCGCGCGTGTGTGTGTGTGTGCGCGCGCGCGCGCATGAATTTGTATTTGTGGAAGGGGGTGATTCTTTTTCACAAGCTTAGGAAGATAACTGTCTCAGCCTCCTACCCACCTGCCAACGTGATTCCAGTATTTTGTAAACCTTGGAAGCATGAAGAATTTTAGTCACATGACTCAAAACAAGGATTTGTCCTTTCCTGCTCCCCACCCTCAAATATTGGAAGGAATCTCCAGGAAAATGTCATTTGGCATTTACTCATTTATCAAAGACAAAATAAGTATCTATTATGTGCTTACTATGCTGCTTGGGTGAGAGGCGTTGAAAATATTTATTAGGTCTCTCTCCGTTTCAGCTGCTATTCTCAAATGACCCACGATGATTTCCGGGGAGGACCTGTAGGCAGTATGGGGGTTCTTCTGTTCTCAGATCCTTCAGATGCCCCTTGCTTCCTTCTTCATCCTTCTGCTCAGTTGTTGATATGGTGCTTGAAACAACCATGGTTCATTCCTACCTGCTCATATTTTTGGGTCTATGAGGGATGCCTTGACTCCCTAGGTTTGTTGCAGATGTTACACGTGGATTTTTGTGGGGTTTTTTTTTCTCTATTTGTTCTGTTCTTATAGGAGTGATTCAAAAAGTACACTACAGCTACTGCTGCTACCATCTTCCTAAAGTGCTGGCAGAACAGAAAGAGGCTCTCTAACACAACAGCCATCCCTAGGAAAAAGTTGTTCATCCATCTCGCTTTGGGAAATCTTCATTTCCTAAGAGTGACTACAGTCACAGAGGACCCTTAGCCCCACCTTGTGCCAGAGTGTGTTTTGGGGCTGGCGGAATGCTTATGTGAAGAATTCCAGGATAAGATTTGCTGACTTGGTTCTCAAGTGAGGCCTCCTTGGGAGATGGAGAGAGGGAAAGCAATCCCCTAGAACCCCTCCTACTGAGAAGATGAAGGTTTCTGGCAGGAAGTTGGAGTCTTGCTAACAATAATAACTCTGAGTTTTCTCAGAAAGTCCGCTGAGTCAGGGAGACAAGATGAGCGATAAGTGATGAACCCCCATGTGTGGTCTTTCTTGCTCAGCTCCTTCAGGAGTCTGTTGTTCTGAGTATGACCTGCAGGCCACCTGCCTCAGAACTGGGCAGTGGGGCAGGTCTGATTTCTATGTCTGTCTTTGTGTCCTTTTCTAAACCGAAAATCATGGAAAACTAAAGGATGTGCCTCTCAGCTATCTGGAGGGACCCCCATAAAGGCACCCAGGAGCACCCCAACCCACACAACACACACATTCTACACACAAGATGGACTCGATTTCAGACTTCTGTTTTAATTGCAAAGTTGCCCAGCCTCTGATTCTGCCCGTACTTGCCCCTCCCCTCCCTCTTCTTCCGCTCCACCCCCATGAGCCTTCTCCTGGAGGTGCAGTGCAGAATTGGGTCAGGCCAGGAGGAAAGCCAGCTTCTTTCCACCAGTACTCCCAGGCCTGGTTCAGTTAGCTTCATCGAGAGGGTTGGTGGAGACAGTGAGACTCTCAGCAGGGCCAGGGTCGGGAGAGGCAGGGGAGCTCCTCACAGTCTGGTTCAAGGTACCCCCACGGCGGGTGCTGGATGCCTCAGAGCCGGTGGCCTCTAACAGCTTGGCAACGAAGCCCACACCAACAGAGCGCAGCAGGCTGCCGCCAGCACAGGCATACAGCACAGGGTTCACGCTGCTGCTCAGGAAGGCCAGCGCAATGAGCACGTAGCGGGCCAGGGTAAGCCGCAGCCCCACGGGCCCCGACCTCGGGGCCCTGCCAGCCAGGGCGCGGCTGGCTTCAGCCAGGTTTACCAGGTGGTAGGGCAGCCAGAAGGCGGTGAAGGTCAAGATGATGAGCACCACCAGGCGGCTGGTACGGCGGCTGCGGCGGAAGCGCCTGGCCCGCAGCCTGCGCCCGATGTCGGAATAGCTGGCCACCACGACCAGAAAGGGCAGCAGGAAGCCCGTGAAAGCCTCGAAGAGCAGATGGAAGGCTCTGTGTCTTTCACTGGAGTATGTCAGGAAGCAAACTAGGCTCTCGTTTTTCGGTACCACAGAGCGATACACAATGACGGGCGTGGCCAGCAGAGCTGACAACACCCAGATGCCTGCTAGCACCCTCCGGGCCATCGTCTTGGTGCGCAGCTTCTGGGACACAAAGGGGCGGGCCACCGCCAGTGAGCGATCCAGACTCATGGCCATGATAAGCAGGACGCTGGCATACATGCTGACTCCGCAAATGTAGTGGAACAGGCGGCAGCCAGCCACTCCAAAAATCCAGGTGCCTCGGGCCAGGGAGTGGAGGAAAAAGGGAGCAGTGAGCAATACAGCCAAGTCGGCCAGGGCCAAGTTCAGCACCATCAGGGCAGTGACAGAGCGCTTTTGCATCTTTACCAGGATGCTCCACACCACAAAGCTGTTGCCAGGGAGCCCCACAGCCAGAGCCACTGACAGTAGGATGATAGCCAGCAGAGAGATGAACATAAAACTTTGTGAGGAGGGTCCTGCAGGAGATGTAGTGTTCGTGGCCATTGCAAGGACCTGGAAGGTGAGGTGAACACTCGCATGAGAGTAGGGGACCAAGGGTTTCCTGAATCTCTAGACACACCTAGCCTGAGTACTCTAGTCTTTCCACAAGGTCAGCAGCATTAGAAGCACCGTCGCAATAAGCACCTGTCTTAGGGGACCTGACTGAGTAGAAAGACTTATTTCCTAACTGGGCCATGGGGCCCCTTCCTTCTCACAGACTCAATTGCAAAATACACAGCACCGGCAGCATTAGCATTGCTAGACCCTTTCAGCCTTCTTCCCTTAGGAGATCCTCAAACCCAGAACCAGACTGGGGAGATTTCCTTGCCGATGCTGTACCTGTCAAAAGGCTATCTCCTCTGTCTCCTGTCAGGTACTTAGCACCCTCTGTCCCATTGACATCTTCCAATCCCCTACCCACTCTTCCAAGAGATGCCCAGGGTCCACCAGAAATAACAGGGATGGGGAGCAGTTCCTGGAGAGGAGAGGAGAACAAATCCTCCCAAGTCCTTTTACCACTAGTCAGGCTCTCTTCGGAAATTCCTTTTCACCTTCTCTCATGGCTGCACCTCACCCCTCTATGACCTCCCCTATCCCCAGGGTCCTTACTTACAGGCTTTGCTGAATACTGGTGGAAGCTGGTGCTAATCTCAGGGTCAGGGCAGTGGTGTAGCCTATTCCGAGATCTGTCCCAGTGTCAGGGGTCTGGCCCCAGTCCTGGGTGCTGTCAGCTAAGTCTGCCAGAGAGGAAGTACTACAGAGCAGGGGAGGGAGAAGACACATCTTCCTGAGGGTGGGGCTGAAACTCCTACCCCCTTCCTTCACTAGGAGGGGAGAATAGCCTTTGTGTTCCAGAAGAGGCCAAGAAGGGACAGCGAGAGACGAAAGAGGGGTGCAGGAGTGAGCAGGCTGGGGTGTGGCCTCAGATGCAGGTCTAGACTGGAGAATTGAACAGACTAATAAATTGTGTCATACTGGAGAAGGAGGGATGGAAGCTAGAGAGGGGAAATGGACTTAGACTGAGAGGACAGAGTGTTGGTTATCTTTATATTTTGTGTGAACAAGCAGATTTTGAGATTAATAGAAGTTTAGGTTAGAGCTATGGTTAAGTTCTGAGTTTGGGTTATAATTTTGTGACTTAAAGGTCAGCACCTTGGCCTTGGCCTGGGTTCAAGCCATTAGCTGAGTTGGGGAGAAAGGGCCCTCTTCTAATACCCCCATCCCTACTCTCATTGAAAAAGACTGGTTCTATTCTAGATCAATCAACTCCCTTCTCTTGGTAGAAGCCAAAGCCCAAAAGGTCTCCTTAGGATCACACAGAATGCCAATTTCTTCCTCCTCTCCCAGCCACTTGCCTTGTGCTTACCCATGTGGCTACCCCGAAACATGAGTTTGGATTTAATATCTGGGCACTGAGCAAGGAGGACAACTCAGCACCCCTTCTTTTCTACCTTCCCGCAGCTGACTCTTCAGTTCCACCTTTTAGACACACAGAGGAAGTAGAGGCTCAGCGTAGGAAAAAGGCGTGAGGGAGTACGGGTGGTGATGCCACACGCCTGCCCTGCTAAGAGGGGATACCAGGACTGTGGAAAGGGAAACAGCCCCCAAAAGGGTCGCTCTTCCCCTTCCTCCTCTTCACAACCTCTCCTGCAGAAGCTAAGAACTGAAAAGTCTTTCTTTCATTCTGACTATTATCCTTCCTGCTTCTCTTCCAACTCTGTCACTCTCAGGAAAGATGCAGAGTGTAACAGTGGTCTTGGAAGTCCCTTACCCTTTGCGGCCCCCACTTTCTCTGCTTTGAGAAAAGCCAGAGCAAAATTGACCCAGTAGCTGTCAGGCAGAGGATATGATGAAAATGAATAGGCTGAAACCACAGCAAGAACCAAAGGCAGAGTTGAGGAAGGGCTTTCTGACCACAGATGGTGTGTGAGACGAGGAATATGTAACAGGAAGTTAGGGACCAGTGCATGACGACAGGAAGAAGCCTCTGCAGTCGAAGTTTCAGTACAGAAGCTTCTGGCTCAGAGCTCTCGGGTCAATCAGAGGCCCCTTCTGACACAAACTGGCTCATCTTTGCCTCCTCTCCCCAGCTGCTCCCTACCTCCATCTGTGTCAATGGCCTTTCTTCTTCCACCCCAGATTAGACACTCTAAGTATACCTGCACCCCAAGTCCAGAGCTCCACAACCAACCCCAGTTTTGGTGGCCCTGGTATGACCCTGAGAACTGAATTTCTTTTGCTTTCTCTTGGCCTCTGCCTGGGTGGTGTGAATAGTCACTAAAGCAGAACCTGGGGTAATTTAATGGTCAGGGTGACCAGAACTCAGGTAACCAACCATTTGAGTTGCCAGGGACTGAGAGGACTGGGACAAGAGACTTCCAATGTGAAAACTGAGAAAGCCCTGGGAAAACTGAGATGAGTTGGTCACCTTAGTGATCGCATGTGAGTGCACATGGGCATCCCCTAAAAAGAATCTCATCCTACATCCCCAGACTCAAAAGTGTCAGGATCCAGAATAGTTTTGAGAGATAGAAATAGAGAGATTCCAAAAGATGAGAGCTGGGAAGTATTGTGGAGGGCAGGTGAGGAACAGCTAGCAGTCTTGTGAAGAGTCAAGATGGCAGAGGAAAAAAAGGAGAAAGGAGAGGTGGCACCGCCCTGAAAAATTCTTCCTGTCCTCCAAACATCCATACCATTCCTCATGCTCCCTCATCTCCAACCCCCAAACATCCCCTGGGTGAGCAAGTGCCTGTTTCTGGGCTCCTTTTTCTGTCCGGTGACCTTTAGGAGGAGAGTTGTATTCAGAGAGGAAGATAAGTCTCAGACTCCCAGGGCCCTTAACCCACTGTGCCAAACACAAGACAGTCAGGAAAACTTTCCTTTGAAATCCCACAGACTGACTTTTGCCTTCTAGAGCCAGTTTCTTATCCCATCCCACCTCCCACTTGGCTCTTACAGACTCCAGAGAATGGATCCCATCCCCACCCCACATCCAAATGTCCATAACTTTTCTTCCTTTTCCTCTTTTTATTTCCCAAGTGGTTCTTCTATAAGCTGAGGAAGACAGGTCAAGATGCCACTGAAGGCTGGCATTGCACAGCTTTGGCCTGACCCTGCAAGGAAAACAGGTGGCTTCGGTATGACTCAGGTGTGCTAAACCACCAGAGGGAGCACACTTAAGCCGTTATGTAATGGCTGCCCAGTATCTTTCACAAAAGCTATTTGAAGCAAGCAGCTGTGGCACATGGGCACATGCCAACCTGCAAGGGCCGCCACCCCTCAAAATCCCCCGGTTTGGAGGAATTTGGGGCTGCCCCAGGTGTGTAATAATTCTGCTTAGACAGATCCAAACTGTCATCAGAAAAGGATTCCCAAATGCTCTGGAGTGGTTCTCTGGGTTCCGGAGGGAGATGCAAGGGTATAGAGAAAAGCAGGCCTGGTTGTAGGGTTTGGTGTCAAGGGTCCCATTCCTGACTGTCCTTCACTGCCCCACCCCCTGGATCTCCATCGCCTCCGCTCTGCCCCACTACTTTGAGCCGAGGGTTAGTTCGGAGCTCCATGGTCCCCTCCCTAGAGCAGCCGCCCCCTCGGGCCTCCCCGGAGCCCTCAAAGAGTCGTGTGAGGAAGCGGGGACCTGCGCGGGGCAGCAGATCCCCAGCAGTGAAGAGGTAGAGCACCGGGTTGACGCTGGAGCTGAAGAAGGCCAAAGCTGTAGTTCCAGCTCGTGCTGCCTGACCCGCGCCACCCAGCTTCGCCAGGGCCCCTTCGGGTGGAGCCAGCGCTGCCACCACCTGCACAATGTTGACTGCGTGGTAGGGGGCCCAGAGCAAGCCAAAGGCGAGCACGATGGCGCTCACCAGCCGGCCCACCCGCGTGCTGTTCCTCCTGGAGCCCCAGCGGGCACCCCGCAGCCAAGTCAACATCACACTGTAGCAGCCGAGCACGAGCCCAAAGGGCAGCACGAAGGCGGTCAGAGTTTCCAGGCTCAGGTGAACGGCGGCGTGAGCCCACGACGGGTGGCACAGCTGGCACACGTGGTCCTCCCAGAGGTGGCGGTAGACGGCGGCCGGGATGGCAAGTAACAGAGCGGCCAGCCAGATGGCAAGCAGCAGGCGGTGGGCCAGGGCCGTGCTACGCAGCCGAGGCACCAGGAAAGGGCGGGTGACCGCGAGGCAGCGCTGCAGGCTGAGCAGGCTGGTGAGCAGGACGCTGGCGTACATGCTGAGCGCGCACACGTAGTAGACAGCCTTGCAGCCCGCCTGGCCCAGCGGCCAAGCCTGCTTCACCAGGAAGGCTACAAAAAGCGGCGTGAGCAGCAGCACCGTGCCGTCCGCCAGCGCCAGGTGCAGCACCAGAGTGGCCGCCAGTGGTCGCCCCCGTGCAGGCCTCCAGCCCGCCAAACTCCACACTACGAAGGCATTTCCAGGCAGCCCCAGAAGCGCTGCCAACAGCAGGAAGACCACTCCTGTGGCCCGCGAGGTTGTCCAGGTCAGCAACGTCTGGTTCCCTGGGGGACGATAGCAGTCCAACATCCTTCCGTGCCTACAAGGAGCTGGAAAAGGCCATAGAGCACATTCAGGGGGTGGAGCGAAAGCCCACGGTTACCCCTGATGCCAGGTGAGAAGGGACTGTGCCTTCCCCCGCTTCCCTGCAGCCAGCCTCTCCTCTGCCTGGGAGCCTTCTCTTCCTCAAGGACCTCAGCCCCAACTCAAACACTATTTCTTGGAACCCAAATCCCCTGCTCTCAGTCAGCTGACCTCCCCAGTCCCAACTCCCAGGCTGTCGCCATCTCCACCTCCACCCCTCTAGCCTGGCCTTCCTTCTAAGTGGTGGGGAATAAAGGTGCTTGGGTAGATTTACTTACCAGAGGGGTGAGTGGGGACGGCGCCTCAAGGGGTCTGGGGAAGCTGAAAGGCAAAGCAGCAGTGGGCAAGGCACCTACTCCGGTCCTGTGCCTGTCGGGTTTGTAGAGGGTGAGGTGGGAATGGGGAGGGACAAGATGAGGCCTTTCCTGGGACACCTCCCTCACTCCACTCCTTCCCATCACTAACACGTCTGGGCATGAGAGAGCATGCTTCCTGAGGAAACAGGATAAGCTGAAGGGGTGCAGAAAAAGTTCCCTGGTCATACAGGTAAGGGAATAGGGACACTGCTGAATCCTGACCTTGGTCCTGTTTCTGCACTTATCCCTTCCCCGGCTCTGGTCCAACCCCCTCAACCCTATTGTCCTTCTGCTCTCTAGTCTTTCTGGCCTACACTCAGCAGAGAAGGTGGCCCAAACTACTCAATCTCAGCTGCTCTATCTTTTCCTGTTTCTAGACTCCTGGCTCTGCTGAGCCTCCTTTTCTTTCAGCTTGGCACCTACACTTCTCACCTTTTCCTTGGGCCCTGCCCCAGTCATTCCACCCTCAGGGCTCTCACTGGACTGTCAATGACAGCTTTCAGTGTAAAGCATGGTGCTAAGTTTTGCAGGGAGTGAGGGTTACATGGAGGTGTAAGAGGTGTAAAATCTGGTTGAGGAGTCGACACAGCCATGAAGAGACCACATACTGGGCTGCACCAGGATACAAAACAAGAAAAAAAGGAAAGGGTACAGTGCTGGAGACATACTGAAAAGAAGACTTCTCTGTTTGGAGAAGTCAGGTAAAGCTTGGAAATGAAGAAATTTGAGAGGGACCTGGTAGACTGATAAAGTTGCGGGAAAGAGAAAGAAAGGCCTTTGCCCAGTCAACAGCCAGAACTCAGGGTTTTGGGAGCCAGGGCACCAGTATTGTCTTTGGTTCCCTCCAAAGCAGAGTCAAGGGCATGGGTACAGGTAATCCTGTATTTAAAAGATCAGCTTAGAAAGCAGATGCAAGAGCAGGGGAAGAGAGAGAAGAGGAGAGCCGATAGGAATGTGTTATTGAGCTCCTTCACTAAACATCAGGAACCTCTGAGAAATGCACAGAGTTCCTTCCATAAAGATGAGGCATTAGCACTCCTATACAGACTTGCAGTCTATACTCTTCAGGGGGCTGACTGGACTGCCACAGCTTCCGACAAGACTCCTGGGCAACAAAGCAAAGAGATTTGCACTCATCTAAGTGGCTTATGGTCAGTGAGAGTCTGAGCTTCTACACAATTGTCCCTCACCATTGCTGCTGAAATTAGAGATGGGACACGGGGCACCAAAAGCTAAAGTCCAGATACTATCAAAGGACCCCACCCACCCCCACTTCGCATCATGCCCATTAAATGGTCAAAAGAGAAAGGTGAGAGAGACTGTGACTAATCCAGTGTGGCTGATGCAGGCAGTTCTGTTGAATGAAACTAGAGAAATGTTGAGCCAGCCACTCACCTAGACCACAAAGGAAAGAGCAAGAAAGCAG